CAGTTACAGAGGACATCCCAGAGTATTTTAAAAGACGTGCAACATCCACTAAACTCAGAGTTTCAGCTGCTTCCCTCTGGTCTGAGGCTTTTAGTTCCAAGATCTAGAACGAATCATTTTAAAAGGATCTTCGTTCCAGCTGCTATTGTACTTATGAGTAAATTGTAATCTATTTATCTATCAATTTTAGTATGTTTGTATTGGAAAAATCGTGCGTTTTTATATATTTAATATTTATTGTGATTTTAGCCAAGTGTGATGGATGAATTTAACTAATTATTTATAGAACAAAACCATTCTGCACTGGAGCACTGTAACACTTTATTTTGTAACTGTGTTTTTATACGTGTTTATTGTACACAATGTGGATGAATCAAATTTAAAATGTAGGACCAGCCTCTCAAATCTGCAAAACAAATTTACCTACAGGTACGAATAAAGCAACCTAACCTAACCTAACCACTTTCTCCTACCCCTCTGCCATAACGGTAACTGGGACAAGTGGAATGGCCAAGGTGCGTAATGGGATTCAGCCTTGGTCATATCTTGGTCTCGACCTTTAAAAGTCTTGTCTCGGTCTTGGGACCCTGTGGTTTCGGACTCGTCTTGGTCTCGATTAGTGCGGTCTTGACTCCAACACTCATAAAAAGTAACGTGTTGATCTAAATATGTTCGGTGTTTGGAGTTAATGCCCCGTAGAAGTGTAAAACTCCTCCTCCCACCTCCAGACCCGCGACCTGTAGCGTTCTGACTTTGTAGGTGACTCAAACCATCTTGCAGTATTAGTTCTAGAAAAGTCCAGGGGGCGGGGCTTAGCAGGTGGGCGCCGGGATGGCACTTTGTATTCCTCCGAAACCATTTCCACTGCAGATTTCACACGCGTTTGATTGTCTCGTTGTTTCGCTCGCTTTCCCTCCGTCACATTAGCAGAGGATAGCCGCTCTCCTCTCCTTTCTTTTCCTCTCCTCCGTCGCCATCCTTTCTTCACTCAGGACTTCCCCTCGTCGTACACATGCACGGAGCGATGGAGGAGATTTTGACAGCGCGTGTTGATTGGTTCAGAACAGTTGCTGGCTCTTTGGAGGAGAGAGGAGCGTCTATTTTTAGATCAAGGGGGAAGCAGAGAGAGAGAGAAGAGAGGAGGAGAGGAGGAAAGAGAAAGAGAGAGAGAGAGGAACACTGCAGTCTTGAAGGAAGTTCCACGGTTTTTATGCAGCGAGCGAGTTTTGTTCCGTGTGTTGAGCGAATGTTGGAATGTTTCTGTTCCGATTCCGATGCTCCGGATTTAAGTATCTGCCCAAAATCAATATTAACCATAAAAAACTCAATAAAAATAAGACAAACTGGATCCAAATGTGTATATTTACCACTTAAAGACGCACTATGTCACTTTTTGGTTGGCGGTCCATGCTTGTTTCTATTGCTCTGCCTGGAATGTTTCACAGTGTGACATTAAACAGCTCTACTTCACATTTATTCAATTGCAGCAAGTTTTATTGCTCAAAAATACCTAGAAAAACACCATTCTGACTGTGAGCAGGGTCGCCTCTCCGCAGATCTGACCTGCAACTTCATCTGGTTTGGTCTCCATGAAGGTAGAAAGGTTTAAAGCCATACTGTGAAACATTCCAGTCAAAGTGATAACCCCTCCATGGAGAAAAGTGTTTGAAAAGTTACACAATGCACCAATGGTCTAGCCTGATTCATCAGCTGATTTCACTTTGTGGAAACTGTCTGACTTCACAGCATTAGGATTCGTTCACGCGACGGTTGGCGAGTACTTTTTTTTTTTATTTAACCAGTCTCTGCTATTTAGTCGTGATGTATGTAATGCGCCAAATCACGTTTACGTCACATACATCACCACTGTTGGGCAAGTTACTTCAAAACTGTAATGTGTTATTTCTGACTTGTTACTGCCATGTCAAAGTGATTTGTTACATTACAATATTACCACATTCAAAATGTGAGAAGTTACAGAACAACTGCAGCACTTTAAGTTACTCTCACGAAAATAACTGTTGCTCAGTGTCAAATAACAATCAGCGAGTGAAGATGCTGGACTTTTGCACTGTATAAGGACTGAACCAGGACTGAACCAGGTCTAAACCAGGACTGAACTAGGACTAAACCAGAGCTTTACAAGGACTGAAACAGGACTGCACCAGGTCTAAACCAGAACTGAACCAATAGTAAACCAGGTCTAAATCAGGACTAAACCAGGTCTAAACCAGATCTAAGCCAGGACCAAAACAGAACTAATCTTGGACTAGGACTTGGAATCTAGGACTGCCCCTGAGAGAACCCCAAGCCCGTGGAGCAGGGTGTCCGCAAATATGCCATACTTTTGAGCTGACGTCTTCTGTGATTAGCCCCGTGGAGCATGGAGTTCTGCGCCGGTCATTTCACCTGCGGTTACCTGACAGTCTACACGGGCGCACCTCCGAGCCCGTCCTGATATTCGGAACCGTAACAATGGCTTTCACTGCTGCTGATAGCGCGGTGATTTTAGCGAATTTGTATGAAGAAAAACAAAAAAAAACACCCCTTCAGTCCAGGTTAAAAAAACATTGTGACGAACGTTACTGACATTTAGTAAATCATCAATGACATCGAGTAAAATATTACAATTTTTTCCCCCTTTTTTGCCACATTACTGCATTACAGCAAAAGGCAACACATTACAGTAATTTGTTACTTTTATAACACATTATTCCCAACACTGTACATCACCACGTAGCGTCACCACGTAGCGTCACCACGTAGCGTCACCACGTAGCGTCACCACGTAGCGTCACCACGTAGCGTCACCACGTAGCGTCACCACGTAGCGTCACCACCGAGCCATCTGGCATGCATACCCAATCGAATTCCACACATTTTTGCACCACCGTATGCACGCAGATTTCCTCCCAAAAATGCTCGCCTAAATACGGAATAAAAAGTGAAGATGCAATGCCACTTTTCTGTCTTCTGTTCAGACCATCATATAAACGTAGCTTTAATTCAGTAGAGAATGGCAGTTCCAAGGCTGAAATTATCCAGATGATTCTAGGGAAAGTGTGGAGTTTAAAAACACAGTGGAGCACTTCCTGTATCACCACAAGGTTGAAGAAAGTCACTCTTAGACTTACTCACAGTGGGAAGAGTAACCAAAACTTTTATCCAACCCAGAATCAAAACTGGGCCAATCTTTCTTCCATTTCGTCCAGACATTTTCAGACCCACTTTCCACACTTCTATCTTTCTTTCTTTCTCTCGTCTCTCTTCTCGTCAGTCAACATCCGTCCCTCGTTCTGCGATGACTCACGGGGCCCCCACCCTCCCGTGGCCCCCACCTGCTGCAGTCAGGGGCCTCTCCTCATTACACAGTGAAGGAGGTGTGGGTCTGGGTCAATGACGTCCACCGGCGCTATATTGGATTTGGGATGTTGGGCGAGCCACATGAAGAAATACATTAGTCAGAGCTCTCGGGTCACTGTGGAGAAACGCCTGCAGGCTCAGACGGAGGCTTTGTTCACTCGCAGCAAAATGACTTGGAAAATATAACCAAAAGAGTTATAGATGAAAGGATTAAATTTGAAACTTATTGACAAAATGGGAGGGGAATCGCAACTGTACAAAGTTTTATTCTGAAAAAATAAAAGCATAAATCATGAAATATAATATAACAGGGGTGCTGCACGAGTGCGTTCGCGCAATATGTGTAAGTTTACATTCAGCCACTACATGTGCAGCTACACGGAAGGCTCAGCTCTTTAATATTCACAAGGGAATTCGTTCGTTATTGGATTGGCAGTGTTTCCCGAAGCGCTTTATAATTAGGGCAGCCGTCTTGACAATAATTGCCCCCTGCCTTGACTACATCGCTCCGAACCACGTGAATCCTTGCAAAACTACGGTCGTCGCTTCCTTACTTTCACCGGCACAGAATCTCCACCCCCCCCTTGCATGTCTCCCATATCCGCGACCTCGAAAGTGTATTTTCAACTGCTGGGTCCGTTGTAACTGCAGCAGATCCACACTTACTGCAGACAATGTGGACGAGCTGGTTTTTCTTGCCAAAAATATGAAGATTGAGTAAAACTTCATGCTGGAACTGTTAGTGCTGTGCTTTTTTGAAAAGTTTTGTTTACTGTTTACAAGGAATACATTTTTGATAATATTTCATAAATTTGTTGCTTATTTGAGAATATTTTATTTAACTTGTTAGTATTACCAAACAGCAGTTTGCATTTATTTTATTTTCCATTTGTATAATGTTAAAACTAATTGTTGGTTTAATAAAAGCACAAATGGTTTTGCATTTCCCGTTTCTGTGACTTAAACTGCAGTGCCGGACTGAACCAGGACTGAACTAGGACTGAACCAGGACTAAAACAGGACTAAGTTAGGTATAAAACCAGGTCTAAACCAGGTCTAAACCAGGACTGAACCAGGACTGAATGTCGGGACGGGCTCGGAGGTGTGCTCGCATAGACTGTTGGGTGATCAGGACTGAGACCGGGACCAGACCGGGACCAAACCTGGACGAGACCAGGACTGAGACCAGGACTTTGACTGATTACTGATTTAGTCCTGGTTTAGACCTGGTTTACACTTGGCTCAGTAATGGTTCAGTCCACGCAAAAGTCCGGCATCGCAGTTTAAGTCACAGAAACGGGAAATGTTATTTGTTTTTTCCATTATTCATTTAAACACAAAAATCAAAAACTGAAAAAACAAATCGTTTTTTCATTTTGGTTTTGGAGACAAATAATGAAGAAAATACTTGTTTTTTTTCGTTTTCTTATTTTTTGTTTTATTTTGAAAAATGAATGAACGAATGATACACAGATTTTGAAGCTTTACTAGATTTTTTTTGCTCTGGTATCTGCACTTTTACTTAAGTAACAAACTGACGACTTCTTCCGACACTCAGTCATTTATAATGGAACTCAATGTAGATTTCCTCTTCCTGTTTAACCTGTATATTTTTATTCTTCTTCTTCTGTTTGCAGTGAGTGACAGCTGCTACCGAAACCTGGCAGAGGACCGCAGCGGTGTGAACCTCAAAGACCTCGTCCATGACCCCTCCCTGTGAGTCCTGCCCTCTGCTTATTAAGAGCTAAAAATACATACATGACTGACAGCACGGAAAAAGTCCACACAAACCCCCGTAACCTAAACACGGGATTATCCTGTAGGGAAGTCCATTCGAATTTGACTGGAGAAGGAGGAATAGGTTCAAGAAGTGTCCATCGAGATTACGAAAATGGTTTGGTTGAGTTTGGGTGGGATTTCAACCGGAGACTATCCAGAAAGTGGGCGAGTATTAACCCACTGCACCACTGTAACTCTGTGTACACATGTAAATTCTCAACCATTTTAACAGAACGAATATGTGTGAGATTTGAACCAGCAACCCTTAAAATTCCAACATTTACATGAGAGCTTTAATTCCGAAGTAAGTGGGTGGTTTATTCTGATTTTAAAGCCAAATTAATTTATTTTTTAGTCATGTAAATGATGATGATAGAATTTGATGATGATAGAATTCTCAAACGCTTGTATAAGATTTGAGCTGAACCAGGACTGAACTAGGACTAAACCAGAAATGCACCAGGTCTAAACCAGGACTAAACCAGTACTAAACCAGAACTGAACCAGAGCTGAACAAGGACTGAACCAGGACTAAACCAGGTCTAAACCAGGACTAAACAACATCTAAACTAGAACTGAACCAGGACTAAACCAGGATTAAACCAGGTCTAAACTAGAACTGAACCAGGTCTAAACCAGGACTAAATCAGTACTAAACCAGAACTGAACCAGAGCTGAACAAGGACTGAACCAGGACTAAACCAGGTCTAAACCTGGACTGAACCAGGACTAAACCAGGACTAAACCAGAACTAAACCAAGACTAAACCAGGTCTAAACCAGGACTAAACAACATCCAAACTAGAACTGAACCAGGACTAAACCAGGATTAAACCAGGTCTAAACTAGAACTGAACCAGGTCTAAACCAGGACTAAATCAGTACTAAACCAGAACTGAACCAGAGCTGAACAAGGACTGAACCAGGACTAAACCAGGTCTAAACCTGGACTGAACCAGGACTAAACCAGGACTAAACCAGAACTAAACCAAGACTAAACCAGGTCTAAACCAGGACTAAACAACATCCAAACTAGAACTGAACCAGGACTAAACCAGGATTAAACCAGGTCTAAACTAGAACTGAACCAGGTCTAAACCAGGACTAAATCAGTACTAAACCAGAACTGAACCAGAGCTGAACAAGGACTGAACCAGGACTAAACCAGGTCTAAACCTGGACTGAACCAGGACTAAACCAGGACTAAACCAGAACTAAACCAAGACTAAACCAGGTCTAAACCAGGACTAAACAACATCTAAACTAGAACTGAACCAGGACTAAACCAGGATTAAACCAGGTCTAAACTAGAACTGAACCAGGTCTAAACCAGGACTAAACCAGCCCTAAACCAGAGCTGAACCAGAGCTGAACAAGGACTGAACCAGGACTAAACCAGAACTAAACCAAGACTAAACAATGTCTAAACCTGGACTAATCCACATCTAAACTAGAATTTAACCAGGTCTAAACCAGGACCAAACTACAACTAATCTCGGACTAGGCCTTGGAATCTAGGACTGCCCCTGAAGAGAACCCCGAGCCCGTGGAGCAGGGTGTCCGCAAAGCTCGATTGAGCGTCAGCTGCAATTAGCTCCGTGCAGCATGGAGTTCTGCGCCGGTCCTTTCCCCCGTGGTCACCAGACGGTCTACACGGACGCACCTCTGGGTCCATCCTGCCACTCGAAACTGCAATGATGTTGTTTCACCGCTGCTGATATCGCAGTGATTTTAGTGAATTTGTATGAAGAAAACCCAAAACCCACCACTTCAATCCAGGTTAAAAAAAAAACATTGTACCAAGTAAATATTTAGATGCCGAACATTACTGCGTTACAGCGAAAAGCAACACATTACAGTAATTCGTTACTTTTATAACACGTTACTCCCAACACTGGAGAGGAAAGATAGAGACAGAGAGAGAGAAAGAGAAAGAGGAAGAGCAGCGGGACGTGTAACATAAGCCCTAATCACAGTCTGGGCGCTGCACACACAACACAGGGCCGCGCCGACACATGTCATCCATCAGGGGGCGATGTGTGTGTGCGTAGAGGGGGGGGGCAGCCCAAGGTGAGTCTGAGAAATGATGTGCAGAATGAGAACACACCGCACGAGCTCAAGGACAGAGACTGCAGCTACAGGTGAAGCAACATGTCTCTGTTTGGGTGGAGATTTTTTTTGTTTTTTTTTTAAATAGTAGAGCGCTTGTTTTTAGTTCTTCAAGGAGCTGGACCTGATTTTTACTGTCTTAAAAAGTGAAGGAAAACAAAAACTGTTCAAAAACTAGTTCATTTTAAAGGGCCCATATTCTGGTCTATGTTTAAATGTTTTTTTCCTCATCACAAACGGACCTGGAGTTGTGTTTTGTTTCATTCACACATGTTTAACACACAAATCCTGCATGTTCCACTTTGTGATGCCCTGTGATAAAACAGGAAGGAGGTTTTGGTGTCATATCCAGTGAATGTGTCAGTATCTACATCAGGGAGTTGCCATGATAAACTTTTTAAACTTTCTTGTTTCAAAACTTCTTGGGACGACTTAAAGGGACAGTCCGGAATTTTGGACATAGGACCCGATTTCCTAGTGAACCAGAGTGTTGGAGACGTGTGGAGACACTTTAAAAACATATTCCATCCGGTCCTTGTATTTGCAGAGGTCGCTAGTGGATGTCAATGGCCATAGTTATCCTGCCACTAAAAACAGTCTTACCCACTCCACAAAACACCTGAAGCAAATCTATTATTACACCAGACTGTCGATGTGAATGTTTGTGCTGATAGAATAATGTTTGAAATAAAACTAACCTTGCATCGCATGAATCGTCGCATGTTCAGGGACTATTTTCTCAGCAGCAGCGAAATTTTACTTTGCCGGTAAGATAGGTGTTAGGTGATATCAGTCTGCCGCTGTCAAACTTTATGTCAAGAAGTACAACTCTGCTGCTGCTCCTCAGACATAATTCGTTCAAATGCAAGGTTCACCGTGGAAAATGAATGCACGCTATATATTCTGCAATACATTTTGTTATTTCTCGAGCACTGTTCTGAGGCAGCGCTGTTGTAAACGCCTCACGTATAGTTTTTTGTCCTGATTTCATTTTCTGAACACGTTCTTCAAAATTTTCGGCGTGTCGGCTTATCAAGTGACTTCTCATGTTGTAGTATTTCCCGCACGGTGCATTATCAGTGTCTTTTTTTTTTTTTCTTATTTTATTTATTTGTAAAGGGACATATTAATGAACATTAAAAATGTAAATATGTAAAGATTATTGCCAACGTGGCTAATTTCCATCTTCAATCCCTCGTGAGGTTGATGTAAAATCATCTACAGGACAAAGGAAAGTACAGCAACAATCACACAAAAGTACACACCACCAGCACACTCATTATACATACAATTAGTTTCAAACAGTTCATTTGAAGTTCAAAGTCAAAAGTTTAAGAGTTAAACCAATAGTTAAACCAACAACCCCTCAAAATAAAACAAAATGTAAAATGTCTGTTTGTCCGTCACCTTTTTCAGATTCAAATATTCAAACCAGTTTGTTAAGGATATGTAAGTGAGAACCGCTAGTTATCCCAAAAAGTGCTGCATATTTCATTCCCTTCGTTACCAACATGAGTTTTAAAATTTTTTGTCAACAACTTGAAAGAATATCACAGGTTTAACTTTACCCTGTTGGAGTGTTAACTCTTTCCTACATTTTAATACTTTACTTATTTCAATAGTCCCTCTAGTTTCTGAATAAGAGCTATTTGAATGTAAAAAATCTGCCCGTTTCCCTCCGTTACCACTTGACCGGACCCCGTGGCAAATTTACTTGTGATATCGCCAATATCATTACACCCCTACTTTATAGTAAATTTTAAATAGCACTATTTGGGAAACATACTCAACATTGGCCCTACATATCGGCCCAAAAATATCAGAGTTCATCGGCCACAGGGGCTCTCAATGTGTGTATTTTCTTTGCTTCAAAACTTCTTGGGACGACTTGACCTTGTAGTAAACTTAGTAGTAGTTTATAGTATTCGTGTTGGTGTAGTAGCATTTCGTATTTGAACTCTCAACTTTTTCCTCTATCCCAGTTCTTGACCTAAAATGCTTCCCCGTACTGGAAGAACCTTCCCGCCGTATAATGGACACCAACACCAGCCCTGCTTCCCTCTGAGGAGAATGGAGTACAAGGATCCTTCAATTATTCACACATCCGAGCGAGCTGCTGTGACAACGTTCTACCATCACACCGAAGCTTTCAAAGTATCATGGACTTCTTTTATTCATAGGCATCTCGGCTTTCAAGGCCCAAACCGTAGACCGGTCCATCCAACATTAAGGAGCTGCTATAACGGGAATCGCACCCACACCTCAGCTAAAACGCCCGTCTTCAAACCAGGACGACCCGGAGTTCACGTCTCCCAGAAAAGCTTTGTGTTGTAAGTTTCAGCGCGACATTTCGATAAAAGTATTCAAATGTTTCGGCCGATATTCCTAAATTTAGTTGAAAACGTGTCTCGGGAACAAAAAAAAGCTCCTGCAGTGTCGAGATTCAATGAAATTTAAAGATGCATTGTGTAACTTTTCCGGTGGAGCGTCCATCAAATGCCTTATTGCTTTGTCTGGAATGTTTCACAGCAGAGGTGGGACCAAGTCATCGTTTTGCAAGTCTCAAGTAAGTCTCAAGTCTTTGGCCTCAAGTCCGAGTCAAGTCCCAAGTCAAACACAGGCAAGTCCAAGTCGACCCATAAGTTCAAGTCAAGTCCAAGTTGTCTGCGTTGAGCTTCAAGTCATTTAAAGTCTTTAAACCAAAGAACTAAATAAAGATTACTGTATTTTCTTCACTATTAGGTGCTCTGGATTATAAGACGCACTGTCATTAAATGGTCTATTTTTGAACTTTTTCACAAATAAACCGCAGCGGACTTTAAACGAAAC